AGCATCCATCCATCTATCCACCCACCCATCTATAGCTATCATGATCTGTCTATATCTTCTATCCAGCTCCTTCCTTCCTTCCTTCCTTCCTTCCTTCCTTCCTTCCTTCCTTCCTTCCTTCCTTCCTTCCTTCCTCCCTCCCTCCCTCCCTCTCCTTCTTTTTCCTTCCTTGCTCTCTTTCCCATCTTCCCTTCTTTTTCTTTGCCTTTCCTCTTTCTCCTTTCCCGTCCCTTCCTGCACACTCAAATGCAAAAGGGGAAACATTTCTCTTTTTTTGTTTTGCTTTCAGTTGGTTTTGCTAGCCCTCTGCCAGCGAAAACGGACACGCGTGCCCCCCACCCGAGCTTCGTGGGGCTGCTCCTTTGCTGTTTCCAGGGCGGCCCCCGCAGACCAGAACCCAAGCAATTTGACCCCTCCCCCGCTATAAACCCAACTTCGGGGACTTCTCTCGTGGCCGGAAGGAGAGAAGATGACCCCTCACCTTTGGTCTGCTTCATTTTCGGGGGAAATTCTAGACGATGAAACATGTTCCATTGGTTGGTGCTGGAGGTAAGATTCGGTAGGAGCTCGGCGGAGGTCCAGCACAGGGCCAGCAGCCCCGGAGTAGGAGTAGACGGGAGGCTGGATATGAGGATTGTGTTGCTGGGGATTATAGCGTGTGTAGTCTTGAGTGATGACTTCCTGTAAGAGAGGGATAAGGTCAAGGTCAAGGTTCCCCTTGCACATAATATGTGCTAGTCGTTTCTGGCTCTAGGGGGCACTGCTCATCTCTGTTACAAAGCTGAAGAAGAGCCAGCGCTGTCCGAAGACGTTTCTGCGGTTATATGGCCAGCAGGACTAAACGCCGATAAGGCGCACGGGAATGCTGTTCCCTTTTCACCAAAGTGGTGCCTCTTTTTCGACTTGCATTTTTACAGGCTTTCAAACTGCTAGGTTGGCAGAAGCTGGGGCAAGGAACGTCACTCCGTTACGTGGCGCTAGGGGTTCGAACCGCCCAACTGCCGACCTTTTTCTGATCAACAAGCTCAGCGTCTTAGCCACTGAGGGAATATATATATCCTTCGGTTTTTCTTTGCGGTCGTTTCTCAAGAAAGCTCCCTGCTGTCCCTTTTGACACCCCACGCGGTCGTCCCTTGTCTTGCCAAACATTTATTTCACACAACCAAAGTTACTACTGAAAAAAGACGGCTGACGACCACGCTTTGCATTTAGCGACCACCGTAGCATCCCCCACTTACGTTGATGTGCTGGGCCAAGGTGACGACGCGCTGATTTCCTTTGGCATTCGGGGGTCCCTGCAATGGCTGACTGGGGGACTGGTGACCCTCGCTGATCTGGTGGAGCTGTTGCATGTGGGGGAACTCTGTCGCAGACGATTTGAGGGACCCTACATGAGAAGAAAAATATGAACGGGCGGAAATGAAAAGCACCACAGCCAAACGGGGGAGGGTCCCTGTTTATAGATGGAGGAGACCCTGACCTTTCTCCTTATCTTGAGCCAGCTTCATCCCTTTCTCGTGGAGGACAGAGGAGGGGGAGTTCACGGGGCTTATGGTTTCAACGCCATCAGGACTGTAGTTCCCACGGAAAACTGAAGAACACAAACAAGAGCCTTGAAGGTTGGTGGGGACGCCTCTCCTTCTCAGCTGGGTGACAGCTGCGAGGATGTTTTTACCCTCAAAAAGGCACTTGGCATTCTGAGACCTCATTGCTTGGCTCCCTACGTAGAGAAGATGGCTTGAGAACATTCAAGAGGGCCTTCACATCCAACCTCGGTCTAGGCTAGATTGACCCATGGGCTCTAGCGGTGGGGGACGATGGACGGACACTGCTGAAAAGCACACAACGGCTTCCGCTGCGGTCTTTTGGAATATATTCAGGAATGGACTGCTGCCGGTTCGCCCAGGTTCGGGCGAACCGGTAGTTAAACCGGTAGCTCATTTTTCATGGCTGGTTCGGCAAACCGGCAAATCCCACTCTAGGCTGGCCCTGCCCACCCAGGAGTCTCTACATGACCTGCTTTGAATGCCAGGTAAGTACAGGACCTGTGTGGACACTCAAGAGAGGGCAAAAAATGGGCCTCCCATAAGTTCTGGAAGGCCGGAAATGGGCCCACATTTCCAGCTTCCAGAGAGCCTCTGGAACCCAGAGAGACCGTTTTCGCCCTCCCCGAGGCTCAAAGAAAGTCTCCGGAGCCCAGGGAAGGTAAAAACGCCCCCCTCCCCCGCCGTGATGTGGGAGGCCGACTAGGCCACGCCCACCATGGCCACACCCACCCAGCAACCGGGCAGAGAACCCCTTGCTAAAATTTTTGAAGCCCACCCCTGACTATATTGTGGTATGAAATGGTACAGTCACCCATCTTGAAACGAAAGTTTCAACAATATCATTAGAAGAGCTTTTGTTTTGGACAAGCAACTCCTTGGCTGAGCCAGGTTGCTGCCACCTGCGAGTTGCCGAGCTTTGGAGATGCCTCCAAGGGCTACTTCCGTTCAAGCTACAGCCAAACTCATGGGTCTTGTTCTAGAACAGCCTTTTCCCAGTGCCCAGTTTGCAGTCTTGGGGGTTACAGTCTCAACCAATCTGGGAAACCAGAGATTGGGGGAAACGAACCCAGGGGCCGGCCATTTAGTAACCTCATTCTCTCCCCCCAACATCATCTGGCTCAACACCAGATGACCTTCCCCATGTTGCAATCTGTGTACAGGTAGTCCTCGACTTACAACTATTTTCTTAGCGACCGTTCGAAGTTGCAACAGAGCTGGAAAAAGGAACGTACAACCGGTTTTTTTTCACACTTACAACCACTGCAGCATCCCCATGGTCAAGAGATCAAATGTTTGGCATCTGGTTATGTATTTATGATGGTTGCACTGTCCTGGAGTCACACAATCACCATTTGTGACCTTCCCAGCCGGCTGAGACCACTACTCAGCTAACAATTCCCTTGCTTAAGCAGTGGAAATTCTGATGTGGTCATAAGTCGAGGACCACCTGTATCTCGGCCGACTTTAGCAAGTTGATAACAATTGATGGACAAAGCAGAACATGAAATAGTTGTGGAAACAAGCCCAGTGCTGAAATTCGTGGCCTCCATCACTCCTGTGTTTCATACATTTTGCAGAGTTCCATGGAGGCAGGTGGACAGGTGTCCAAACAGCTAAAATGACACATCACAACCGCACAACACAAGCCCTCACTCTTTTGGACAGGCCTGGCCAAGTTTGGGGGGGGGGGAGGCTTTGAGGGTGAATCCATGACATCCTCTCAATGTTTAGACCTGGGGTGTCAAACTCAGGCCGTCACGGCGGTGTCACGTGGCATATTGGGACTTTTGTTTCCCTTCGCTAAATCAGGTGTGGCTGGCATGTGACGCATCTGGCCTGTGGGCCGGGAACTTGACAGCCCTGGCTTAAGACCCTCGTCCAGTGGTGGGATTCAGCCGGCTCGCACCACTTTGGGGGAACCAGTTGTTAACTTTCTGAACAGTTTGGCAAACTGGTTGTTGGAAGAAACCATGAGGTCAGAGAGAACCGGTTGTTATTTGAATCCCACCACTGCCCTCGTACCTTTTTGAGAGGACCCCCTCCCCATTTCCAAGTCTAGCCTGCCCTGCCGCACACAACGACATGCTCCAGGAAGAAACCAAACGCGGGGGAACCAAGGGGGGGGGGGGGGGGGGGGAATAGGCTGAAAAATGGCGGGGGGGGGGGGCAGAAAGAGAAGAAGCATGAACACAGGAGGGGGGCAAAACAGGGGCTTTTAGGCAGACAAGGCTGAAAACATAAAAGGGGCCTTCACCACAAATGTGAAAATTAAAACGCTTTAAAAAGAAAAGAAAAAAAAAAGAAATAAATGACTGCGGAAAGGGAAGGATCTTTGGTAACGTCTCCGGGTGCAGGTTGGAAGGGCCCCCCCGACGCGGAGAGCCGCCCCCGATTTCCCCCTCCCATGTCTTACCATCGCCATTGGTGCTGTTATTTAATGTACTTCTTTCGGGCATCCCCTTATTGCAAGAAATTTGGCGCGTGATAATGACATCAATGAAGTTGGCCGCTGTCATGGTAGTCTTACCCAGTACTCGCAGCTCCTGTTCCTGCACTGAAAAGGGTTTACTCTTTTCTCTACTCGGCTGCTCGGGGGCCGAAACGGCGTGCAGTGATGAGTCTAGGGGGCTGTGATGCGAAGGCTGGATTTTCCCCTGTCCTCTGCTAAACGGGTGGCTTGCCCCCGGCCCAGAAGAGGACAAAGTCTTGGACTCCGTAGCTTTTACGGGCGAAGGGGTCTGTTCTAGGCTTGGCCCCACAGACAACTTTGAGGGGAACAGGTGGTTGATCTCAGGCTGAGACCGTTCACTTTTGAGGTCCTGGGTCCTGGAGGAGGAGGAGGAGGAGACCTCCTTCTGCACATGAGCTGACTCCATCACCGAGGCATAGTTGTCCACGCCACTCATGGAGCTGCGCAACGCCGATGCCGGACAGAAGCCGGAGGAGCAGGCTGGGGACGTGGTGGCGATGGATGAAGAGGAGGAGGAGGAAGAAGAGGATCTGCAAAGGAGAAAACCACATTAAGAGATCTCCAAGGGGAGAAGGAGGAAATACCCACATCTTTTGCAAGGGGTGTCGAGGGTAGTTATGGGGGTTATTCAAATCCTGGATTTCTGCAAGGGCTCGCTTAGAAGAAATCCAGAAGTTGTGAACTGGAAGTTTTTAAGTAGAAATTGGACATCCGTTTGTCTGGAGTGGTGTAGAATTTCCCAAAGGTGCTTTTTCAGGAGGCAACTGGACTACCAGCTCACCAAGAAATGGCCAACTTGGAGGGTTTTTTTTTCAGCCCAAGGGTGCTTTTTCAGGAGGCAATTGGACGTTCTTGATTTTCTTTTTTCTTTTTAAAGACATTTCGCTTCTCATCCAAGAAGCTTCTTCAGCTCTGACTGGATGGTGGGGAATGGAAGGATTTATACTCCTTGCAGACAGCTGGTCATTTGCATCCTTTGAGAGGGTCATTAAGGCCACTTGGAGGTTTATCTGTGCCTTTAAGGTCACCAGAGTAGTACAAATGGGTGTGGAGCCTTGGAAATGCTGAAAGGACTGTGTTGTAGACTGGACATAGATGGTGTCGTATCCCTCCCCTTCTGTTGAGAAAGAGCTGTTCAATTTTGACATAAAAGGCCTCTTTGACCCTTCTTTCAAACCAGCGGTCCTCTCTGTCCAAAATCTGGACTTTGCTGTCTTCAAAAGAGCGGCCTTTGTCTTTGAAATGCAGATGGTCTGCTGAATCTAGTCCGGATGTGTTTGTTCTCCTATGTTGGGCCATGCGTTTATGTAGTGGTTGTTTTCTTTCCCCAGTGTACAGATCTGCACATGGCTCACAGCATTGTACTAAATCTATGCAAAGCATTGTACTAAATCCATGCAAATAACCAGCTGTCTGCAAGGAATATCAATCCTTCCATGCCCCGCCCTCCGGTCAGAGCTGAAGAAGCTTCTTGGATGAGAAGCGAAACATCTTCAAAAGAAAAAACAAAGGAAGTCCAGTTGCCTCCTGAAAAAGCACCTTTGGGACAACCATGACTTGGATGACAGAGAATCTGTACAGACTTTTAGCTATACAATTTGGGATGAACAGCCTTTGAATGATGTGGGAGTAGGAATGGATTTCCAGAGGAAAAAATTGCAGACTACAGGAACCATTTGCACTACTCAGGTGTCCCTGAGGACACAGATAAACCTCCAAGTGGCCTCAATGACCTTCTAAAAAGGATGCAAATGACCAGCTGCCTGCAAGGAGTATGAATCCTTCCATGCCCCACCATCCTGTCAGAGCTGAAGAAACTTCTTGGATGAGAAGCAAAATGTCTTCAAAGACATTTAGCAATGTTTCCTGCTTAAGCAGGGGGCTGGACTAGAAAACCTCCCAAGTCCCTCCCAACTCCATTATTCTGAACTTCCAAGTGCAAGATGTAAACTAAACTATACAGATAGGCTACATTTTCAACATTTGCAGAAACGGGGAATCTATGGCCAGGCAGGTTTTTTTTGGCTGGATTATAATTTGGGGTCTGTGACTGTAAAAAAACATCTCAGTGAGAACGAGCAAAAAGGGGCTTCATTTCCAACAGATTCCCCCCTCCTGGATTAACATCCAGAATTGGGCATATAAGATTTTGTGCCCTGAATGTTATATGGAGAATAACTCGCTTCCACCTTTCCGGAATGTGACCTACCGTAAAACGGAGGGAGTGAGGCCTTCTGGAGAGACGATCTTCATGTTGGTGTTATGCAGCACGCTGGGACGCTGTTGGATGTTCTCCTGGGCACGTGGGGAAACCGGGGAGTGCTTGTGAGAGTGTGCAGAGATACGGCCACTGCTGTGCTCGGTGCCTGTGGTAAAAAGATGGAACGGAGGCAAAATGAGACAGTGCCGAGCCCCCTCTCCTTCCTTCTGTTCCCTCCTTCCCTTTGGCCAGTGGAACTGGCGGCAGCCTCAGACAGTGAGGAGGTTGGGGGCAAACATGGGCCAGTCCTGGAGGCTGGGGAAGGCTCTGACTAGGGCTCTGCATCTGAGGCAGAGATGGGGCCAAGGCCATCCCACAGTTATCAGCTGCCTTCGGAATTGGAGATCAGTGGGGCAGAAGAACAGCTGGAGCCTGTTCCCAATGTGCGCATGCACAGAGCTGCCAGAAGAAGGGAACAGTAAAGGAACAAGGGCCGACTTGGGAGTAAAGCGACAGGTGGACGGTGAATGGCCCCTCCCATAGGGACTAAACAGGAGCGAAAGGGGAGTGGGGCTTTGCAGGAGACAGTTCAATTCATTCGGGTGAAGATCTGTTCCTGACTTCTTGCCAAGTAATGTCTGCTACAGCGTGGCGTTTGGAAGCTCTCGGCCTTGGCAACTCTCCCAGCCTGATAAAGGTCTGTAGTTGTGAAATCTCTTGAAAGACTACTTGCTATGACTTTGCTGGAGAGGACATTCACTTTAGCCTAAATAAAAGGAGTTTAATCGGGATGAGGAGTCGGCTTCATGATTTTGGGAAGTCCAGGTGCGAGCACCTTCCAAGGGATTGAACCTCAACTCACCCGGCCTCCAGATGGGCGCGTGTTCCACCGTGGCTGTGCTGGTCACCACCGATTTTTTGCGTTCCTTTTCACGGTCTCGTTCTTGCTCCCGTTCGGAAACCGGAGGTCCCGTCTTGGCTAAATGCGCAGGGGTACCTGTGAAGCACAGGCTGTTGTTGGTTTCCCACTGTGGAAAAAGCGCTCTAGGGCTGCTTTGCTATTTCATCCACCATCAATCTCCAGCAAAAAAAAAAAAGCATTCGACTTGAAAATTTTTTGATTAAAAGCTCAGAATTGTAGGGTCCTTGGCGCCCTCCAAACTCAGAGAGCACTTAAGGACCCTACAGTCCTTTTTCCTTATCCTCCTCCTTCCTCTCCACAAACCTCACTCCCTTCAAGCACTGATGATGTTCCCTAGTAAGGTCATGAAATGTCTGTAAATGTAACCCACCAAGCTCAGAGAGCAGGGTGGATTAAAAATCAGATTTTTAAAAAATTTAAATTGGATTTTTTTTATTTTTATCAAATTTATTTTAATGAAACCCCGATTTTTTTTTTATTTTGGAGTAAAAATCTATCTAAAGATAGTTTTCTATTTGTGATACATTCATAGCTTAGCTTATTCAGCATGGAATGGAGCTTACTCATCCCTCATTCTGGTTTACCTTGGTTTTTTTTTAGTAACCTGTTTCTTCTTTGCATTCTCCTTTCTTTCTTTCCTTCCCTAAATTTTGTTTTCAAAGCATTGCAACACGCACGTTCCTAACACTGTCATCCAGGATGATGGGGTTCTTGGAACATGTGGAGGGCAATCAGACTCCATCATCCTTAACTTTGGGATGAACTAAAGCTTCTGGCTTGTGGTTTCCTTCATTTGGGTGCTATCAAGAAGCCATGAGGTGGTTCCGAAACTCCCAGGATGATAAGGACTGGGTCAAGCAGCCCACAAAATCCGTACTTCTCAGCTGAATTGCATCTCACCGGCCCCTCTTCTACTTTTCTTCTCCAAGAAAACTCCAGCTACTTCCTTTGCCCGATCTAGAACAGCTTCCTTCCCTCTAGCTTGTATTGCCTCGTTCTTCTTTACACCTCCGATGTTTGCACTAATGTTCACTTAATTCTACACCTCTCGGATCACAAACCTGGGTAAGCAACCTATAAATCCACACTGCCCACTTGAGGTGGACCTCACTGGTCCTTCTACTTTCTGTCAGGATTCCAGGAATCACTCTAATGAAATCATGATTCTCGAACCAATCTTCAAAAAAACTTCAAAGGATTTATTAGAGGTGACATACTGGCACTGCCCTGGATGAAGCCAACTCCTGCATACGTCATTTACAGTCCCCTGTGACCCTGTTTCCCCCTCTCCCCCCTGGGTATCTCACAAACCAGATTCTCCAATTGAGCATGTTCATGGACTGGGCGTCATCATTCACGTTCTCCAATTAAATATATCGGCGAGCAATAACTCTGGTATTTTAGTTACAGTCTTTTAAAGAGAAGAGTTGGAAGGTACTTTTGCTTTCAAACTGCTGCACTGCTCTTCCAGATTTCCTTTCTCCCCCCCCCCTTTTTTTTTCTTTTATGGCAACTACTAAAACAGGCATAGGAATGTTTTATGAGTTGACACTTTCCTTCTGGAGCTCCACTTATTTCCATCAGCCGATCTAGAACACATCTTCCTTTCCTCCATCTTGCATTAATTTGTTCTCGTTTACCTCCTCTCTCTCTCCCTCTCTCTCTCTCTCTCCCTCTTTCACCTGTGCACAAGGTGGCTCTCCTTCCCAAGTGGTTACCCAAGAAGGATACTTGGAAGCACCTCACCTACGTTGGGTCCTTGGTTCCCTCCTGACTCACCTGGCGAGAGCGGCGAGCTACTGTGTCGACTGCTGAAAGGCTGGGCAGTGCCGTGCATGTAAGTGATGCGGTCCATGGAGGCTGCAGAGGTGCCTGGAGTGGGAGGCACGAGCACAGGGAGGTGTGGTACTTGAGACAGGTCAATTATCCCTGCTGGGAAAAGAAAATGGTCAGGAATGGAAGGGGGAGGCCAGAACCAAGTGGGCAGTGTCCTCTTTTAAGGCCAATGGGGTTTAAATTTGTCAGGCTGGTCCGCTCTGAATTCTCTGCATTTTTTTTATTACTTCCCTTTAAACAGGGGTCCCTCAAACTTGGCAACTTGAAGACTTGTGGACTTCAACTCCCAGAATTCATCAGCCAGCTATGGTGGCTGGAGAATTCTGGGAGTTGAAGTTCACAAGTCTTAAAGTTGCCAAGTTTGAGGGACCCCTGTTTTTAAGAGTCAACTCATGCCAGGGGCATCACTTCAAGAAGAATCTTACAGCCAAACCAACTAATAGCTTTGCTCAGAATGAACAACGGGCAAAAACGGGGCAACTCGCCCTGTTCAACTCCCGCATGGGACAATTCAACAAATGCAGAAGTTAAATTTCATTTTGACAGAACGGTGGCCAACCATCATAAAATAAAGCCAATCCAGAAAGGCAAGAGTATTTGGATGAAAGCATAGTCACCAAGAATGAAAGTATCTGAATGATTAATACAGCACCGAATTGTCCCGAGGTGAGTTGGCCACGGCGAATTGTCCAAGTACAAAGGTGTTGCTTTTAAAAATGACTTGAGACTGTAGGCAAGGTAGGAACCATCAAGATCCATCAAGCCAGCTGTTCTGACCCGGCTCCCAAACACGACAAACCCTCTGAAGTGAATTCAAAATATTCCTTTCTTAGCAGCATTGGCAAAAAGTTTATCTCTCACTGCAGGCTAACAAATCTGTCCAGTAGGGAGATGTATAGTTGTCTGCCACATCTATTCATCGCCGCCCCCTGCCTTTTATCCCCAGAGCTAGGGTGGGGCTTTGCTAGCAACGGTGGCTCTTCCGTCCCAAGGACCGGCCCACAGATTTCCACTGTTCTCTCCTCTCCTCTCCCCTTTCTGTGCATCTGCCTGTCAGGCACTGGACCCAGCTGTTCTTTCTCTTCCTCATCAGCCTCCAGACCTGGGGGCTGTTGACTCTCCATCTGAAGGCTGTTAAGATGGCCCAGGTGTTCCACCTCTCCATCTTTGACAGCTCCATTCCCTCTTCCTCCTCAGAGCTCTCGGATTGCCTTGATGCTGGTCCTGACTCCCACACTCCCATTTGGCTGCTGAAGGGGCCAGTGGCTACAAGCCACAACACTAGCATTGTTCATACAGCAGTGTTCCCCCCACCGGCCTGGCTTTGTGGACTAGCAGCGGGGAGAAGGGATGGTTCTACGTGAGTGGTGGGTGAGCCCACCACTTCCACGGCCCGGTTCCAAATGGACTTGGGGACCCCTGCTCTACAGCCAGCAGCTCCTCTCTGCTTGACGCTTGTTCCCACAACAGCACAAACTGGAGCAAACACAACGGATAAACGTTACTCTTTTAAACCATTAAACCAGTGTGCCTTGTCTCGAACCCAGCGGGATCTACCATCTCATGGGTATTTTGTGCAAACAAGTCCCCAACATGGCTCGCCTCCCTCCTGGGCCCGCTTGGCACCCCCACGGATTCCAGACCTGCTGCGTAGTTGAGAGCCAGGGAAGGTTCTCGTGGAGACAAGCCACGAAGCAGATCGACTCTCTGAGCCATGGTGGTAGCCGTGGCAGCGTTGTGGTGCATCTGTTGGGAGGTGATGTAGTCGTTGATGATGGTCTGTCTGTTCTCCATGGCGGCGGTGTCTGGGTAACCACGGATGAGGTAGGGTGGGTAGAGATGGGAGTACGTAGGACCAGGAGCAAGGTGCCTTGGTAAGTAGTAGGCAGCTGTTGAGTCGAGAGATGAAGAAGAGAAGGTCCATTTCTACCCGTACCAGATTTTAGAACATGTACATCCAAACCTTGAACGAGATCTCAATTCCTGTCTTCTACATCTTTCCATAAAGCCGCACTTAAAAGTCTTCCAAATCCTTCCCCCGCCCTTTCCCAGGGCCAATACCTGGATCAGGGGTGTCAAACTCAAGGCCTGCAGACTGCATTGGGGTGCTTAGATCTGGCCCTTAGCAAAACAAACTAAAAGCGAAACAAAACCAAAGGAGAAATGTTTCCCCTTTTGCATTTGAGCACGCAAGAAGGGACAGGAAAGAAGAAAAGGAAAGGGGAAAGGCAAAGAAAAAAAAGAAGGGAAGAGGGGAAGAGACCAAGGAAGGAAATATAAGTGGGGAAGGAAGAAGGAAGGAAGAAGGAAGAAAAAAAGAAGGAAGGAAGGAAGGAAGGAGAGAGAATGAAGAGGAAGGGAAGGAAGGAAGATTATAATGAGAGGGAGGGAGGGTCTGAGGGCAGTCCTGCCTTAGCACTTGGGCCACCACAGGTGCCGACACCATTGGTCAAACTGCCAAACTGCTGCCCAACCCCCAGGTCAAACACAACCCTGATGCAGCCTTCAATGAAATAGAGTTTTCACACCCCTGGCCCTACATCTACGTGCAACCCTGGTAGGGTTTGGTAGGGTTGCACGTTCTACCACCGAGATCCGTACTCGTAAAAACCGGTCCAATCTGCACTGGGGACAAAGCTACACAATGCCCAACAGGGGATGGGTTTATGGGCTTTCCAATGCTCCTACCTGCTTCCAAAGGAATCCCTCGGGGAATGGCAGCAGGGTCAAAGGTCAGTGGAATGTGCCCCCTGTATAGATCCATGCCACCTGTTCCGCGGATCAGATGCTCGAACATCTGGTGATGGTGTTCTGGAAGTGGGGTGTGAGGAGATTTGGAGCTAGTGATGTCTCTGGAGCTGGTTGTGACCTTCCTGTCTTGAGACACGGGTTTTCCAGCAGTGATGCTTCCTGTCGAAGAAAAGGAGAGCATCAAAAGAAGCGAATCTTTGCAGCTCAGGGTCGAATTGTAAGGTCTCAGGACACTGATGAGGTTTTCCTCGGTCAGTCATGAAACATCTGCAAGAAATGACCTGGATCAGGGGTCCCCAACCACCAGGCCCCGGACCGGTACCGGTCCGTGGAACATTTTCTACCGGGCCGCCGGTTTGCTGGGCGCCGCCATCTTGTTTCGATGAGAAAGTGCTTCCGGGTGAGCTTTTCCGGTTGGAAAGCGGCGTTTGGGTCCTGAAGGAATCCTCGCGCCTTAGTTTCATCGAAGGGGGGGGGGGGGACGGCTTCTAACGAAACTAAGGCGCGAGGATTCTTTCAGCACCCAAGGCAAGGCGAGCCGAGCGACCGTCCCGAAGCCGTCCCGAAGCCCATCGACAAAGGTACAAAGGAGGAGTTGAAGGTGGCGGGGAGAAGCGGGGGACGGCTGGCTGGCTGGCCGGTCGCTCGGCTCGCCTTGCCTTGTCATGTGTGCTGATGCCGGTACCGGGCCGCGGATCATTTTGTGATGCCGGTAGCGGGCCGTGGCACAAAAAAGGTTGGGGGCCACTGACCTGGATGACTGAGAATCTCTACAGACTTTTAGCTATACAATTTGGGACGGACACCCTTTGAATGGTGTGGGAGTAGGAACGGATCTCCAGAAAGAAAGAAAAAAATTGCAGGCCGCAGGAACCATTTGCACTAATCAGGTGACCCTGAGGGCACAAGATAAACCTCCAAGTGGCCTCAACGACCCTCTAAAACAGAGGTCCCCAAACTTGTGGACTATCCCAAACTTGGCAAATTTTAAGACTTGTGGACTTCAACTCCCAGAATTCTCCAGCCAGCATAGCTGGGAGTTGAAGTCCACAAGTCTTAAAAGTTGCCGAGTTTGGAGACCCCCGCTATAAGTAGTATATATGTCTTTCACAGTGTACATTTCAAGGTATACATGGCGGAGGAAACGCCAGGATGGTCACACTGTGTTCAATATATAAAAATATATATTTAAAAAAGAAAGAAACAAGCCCACACTTCCTGAAAAGGGCCATGCTGTGCTTGAAACATGACCAAGAACATCAAGGGCTCGGATGTCTTTCTATAGAAAACTGCACTGAAACACCTTGGGAGTAATTAGGACTGCAGAAAAAAACAATTACTACCAACCTGCCTTCCATGGAGGACCTGTATGCTGCACGAGTCAAAAAGAGGGCTGTGAAAATATCTACAGACCCCTCACATCCTGGACATAAACTGTTTCAACTCCTTCCCTCAAAACGACGCTATAGAGCCCTGCACACCAGAACAACTAGACACAAGGACAGTTCCCCCCCCCCCCCCCCCCCCCCCCCCCCCCC